AAGTCAATAACAAAAGGACAAATATTGTATGATGCCACTTACATAAAAAGACAAGAACAGGCAGATGTATAGACAGCAAAGTTTCTTAGTGCTTACCAGCAGCAGGAGGGAGGGGGGAAAGAAGGGCTTAGTTCTTATGGAGTACTGAGTTTCATTTTAGGGGTGATGGAAAAAATCTCATTGATTAAGTGCACAGCCGATTAATATAATTGCTGTCAGTAAGTTGTACACCTGTAAAATGTTGAATTGGCAAAAGTTGTGTGATACATATATTTACAACAATGGGGGAAAAACGAGAGAGTCGTTGCTGACGCTGCATATATACAACCAAAAACCTCATGCGGTTTGGTTCCTTGGTTTGGAGGTTTAGGGTTATGGTTTCATGGGACAGCCCAGTTAATTTGGTCTAATAATGTGTTTAGTGCTTCTGTTCTACCTCCTAGTTCACTGAGTAGTGCTTTAGGTCTTAAAAATTTGCAAGCAGCCATTCAAGGCGCAACAAATTGGTCTCTATTGGCATGGAGCAACAGAGGAAGAAGGACAGTCAGGAACAGGAAGAGGATATGGAATGTGTGGCTAATTGCCTTCGTGAACAACAGATCACAAAGGGGAAAAATGCAGAACAGAATGTCAAATTCTCATGGAATCCAGTCTTTCTGGAGCCATGGAACCTGGATGAACCCCTGAAACTATAGTCCTTAGATATTCTTTAAACCTTAAACCAAAAATATCCCCTGGTCTTCTTAAAACCAAATAGTATTTTAGCTTAACTAGTAAAGAATGTCTGCCTTGAGCATTGTGCTTTTTTAAGATCTATCTATATGGGAACATGACAACAGCAACTCAAAAGATTAGATAGGAACCTTAAGGGGCAGTGAGTTTATGTCAGTGGGGTGGGGGAACAACTCAGAAAAGGAGGGTGAGAATATAATCAGTGGCACTGAATTGTATATGTAGAAACTGTTGAATTGGTGCGTGTTTTTGCTACGTATATTCTCAACAACAACAACAAAAAAATAAAATTATTTTTTAAAAAGTCTCTTGCAAGACTGATCAGGAAGAAAAAAAAACCCACAAATTACCAATATCGGGAGTGAAAATCAGACTATCACTGCAGATCCTATAATATTAAAAAGATAATTAGATGGTATTATGACTGTCTTTGTGTCAATAAATTTGACAACTGAGATGAACTGAAATATGCCATGTTCATGGATTGGGAAACACAGTGTTGTTAAGATGTCAATTCTTACCAAATTCATCTACAGATTCAATGCAATCCCAATCAAAAGCTTTTTGCAGGAACTGAAAGGAAGATTCTAAAATTTGTAGGGAAATGCAAAATATGTAGAAGAGCCAAGACATTGTCAGGAAGAACAAAGTTTGAGGCGTTACCTACCAGATTTTGAGACTTAGTATAAAGTTATGAGTCAAAATCAACTCGATGGCACACAACAACAAAAGAAGTATAAAGCTATAGTTAACTAAGATGGGATCATATGGGAGTAAGGACAGACAAATAAATCCATAAAACAGGATAGAGAGTTCAGAAATAAATCCAACGCACATACAGTCACCTGATTTATGACAAATGTGTCACTAAAATTCAGTGTGGACACGATGGCCTTATCAATAAATGAGGCTAGAGCAATTGGATTTTCTTACAGAAAAAGAAAAGAATCATGACCCCATACTTCACATCATATAAAAATTTTAATTTGAAATGGATTATAGGGCTAATGTCTAAAATAGTAAAACTTCTAGAAGAAAATAAGAGCATATCTTCATGACCTGGGTGTAGGCAAAGATTTTTTACAGGTCATATAAGACAATAAACATAAAAGAAAAAAATGACAAATGAGATTGATTAAAATTAAGATTGACTCCCCATCAAAGACACCATTAAGAGAGTGAAAAGACAACCTTTTACTGGGAGAAGATTTATCAATATATATACCCAACAAAGGACTTATAATTAGACTATATAAAGAATTTCTGCAGATCAATAAGAAAAACGTAACCTAATTTTTACAAAAATGAGCAAAAACTTGAGCAAGATTTCACAAAAGAGGATATCCAAATGGACAAATAGGCACATGAAAAGGTGCTCAGCATTGTTAATAACCAGGAAAGTGCTAATAAAACTACAAAAATAAAGACTACAATAATTTACCAATACACATCCCCCAGAATGGCTGAAATGAAAAAGACTGACAAATACTAACTGCTGATGAGGGTATAGAACAATTGGAACTTTATTCATTGCTGATGGGACTGTAACTTGATACAAAAACTTTGGAAAATTATAGGACAGTATCTACTAAGGCTAATTGTATAACTGCCCTATGACCCAGCAATTCCATTCCTAGGTATATATCCAAGGACAATGAGTCCACCAAAAGACATTTCTACAGCTTTACTCATAATAGTCAAAAACCAGCAGCAACCTAATAGTCCATCCACAGAGAGCTGGATAAACAAATTGTGATGTATTCATATAACAATACCACACAGAAATACAAGAGGGTGAATTACTGCTATGTGCCACAAAGTGAATGTATCTCACAGTCTTATGTCGAGCAAAAGAAGCTAGACATAAAAGAATGCATAATAATTGATTCAATTAAGTTTAAGAAAAGACAAAAACAATCTATGGTGGTAGAAGTCACAGTGGTTGTTAGCTTTTTTTATATTACAGTTTTATTTATTTTGTTGTTGTTGTTGAGAATGTATGCAGCAAAACATACACCAATGCAACAGTTTCTACATGTACAATTTAGTGACATTGATTCCATGCTTTGAGCTGTGTAACCATTCTCACCCTCCTTTTCTGAGTTGTTCCCCCCACCCATTAACAAAAATTCACTGCCCCCTAAAGTTCCTATCCAATCTTTGGAGTTGCTGTTTTCCGTTTGATCCCATATAGATAGATCTTAAAAGAGCATAATGCTCAAAGCAGACATTTTTTACTAGTTAAGCTAAACGATTGTTTAGTTTTAAGAAGACTTCAGGTGTATTTTTGGTTTAAGGTTTAAAGATTATCTCAGGGCAATAGTTTCATGGGTTCATCCAACCTTCGTGGCTCCAGGAAGTCTAGAGTCCATGAGAATTTGACATTCTGTTCTGCATCTCCTCCTTTTGATCAGGATTCTTCTTAGAATCTTTGATCAAATATGTTCAGTAATGGTGGCCGGGCACCATCCAGTTCTTCTGGTCTCAAGGCAAAGGAGGCAGTTGTTCATGGAGGCAATCAGCCACATACTCCATATCCTCTTCCTATTCCTGACTCTTCTTCTTCCTCTGTTATTCCAGGCAAATATAGAGACCAATCGTTGTGCCTTGGAGGGCAGCTTGCAAGCTTTTAAAACCTCAGGCACTGCACATAGAACTAGAAGGTAGAACAGAGGCACTAAACATGTTTTTAGGCCAGTTAGAGTTTTCTTTCGTTGTACGAAAGCAGCCTCAACAGCTACTTTCTTTTTTGTTGTTGTTATAAATATATCCATCACGCAACTTTTGCCAATTCAACTTTTTACAGATGTACAACTTATTGACAGCAATTACATTAATCACCTGTGTAATCCTGCCCTTAATAAACATGGTATTTGTTATTAGCTTTTGGGGCTCGGGTATTGACAAGGAAGGGGCATGAGGGAACCTTCTGGGATGCTGGAAATGTGCTGTACCTCCATCTTGGTGGTGATTACACAGGTGCATTGTTATTGTGTGCGTCGCTTTGATCCTGACTCCTAGCGACCCTATATGACAGAGTTGTCATGGACTGAATTGTGTTACTCAAAAATATCTGTCAACTTGGCTGGGTCATAATTCCTAGTATTGTGTGATTGTCCACCATTTTGTCATCTGATGTGATTTTCCTATGTGTTGTAAATCCTATCTCTATGATGTTGATCAGATGGGATTAGCAGCAGTTATGTTAATGAGGCAGGACTCAATCTACAAGATTGGATTGTGTCTTGAGCCAATCTCTTTTGAGATATAAAAGAGAGAAGTAAGCAGAGAAACACTGGGACCTTATACCACCAAGAAAGCAGCACTGGGAGCAGACTTCGTCCTTTGGCCCCGGGGTTCCTGTATGGAGAAGCTCCTAGTCCAGGGGAAGATTGATGACACGGACCTTCCTCCAGAGCTGATAGAGAAAGCATTCCCCTGGAGCTGATGCCCTGAATTTGGACTTGTAGCCTACTAGACTGTGAAAGAATAATTTTATCTTTGTTAAAGCCATCCACTTGTGTTATAGAAGCACTAGATAACTAAGACAAGAATAAAACTGCCCTATAGGGTTTCCTACCCTGTAATCTTTATGGAAGCAGATCGCCAGGTCTTTCTCCCGAGGAGCCACTGGGTGGGTTCAAACCACTGGTCTTTCGGTGAGTAGCTGAGCACTTAGCTGTTGTGCCACCAGGGCTCCTCTACACAGGTGTATACATATGTAAAAATTAATTGAAGTATACGTTAAATGTTGTTACTTGCTGTAGTGTTGATTAGATTCACGATGACCCCATGCGTGCAGAGTAGAACTGCTCCGTAGGGTTTCCAGGGCTGTGACTTCTGGAAGCAGATCTCCATGCTTGTCTTCCAAAGTGTCTCTGTGTGGGTTCTAATTGCCAACCTTTTGGCTAGCAGTCTAGTGCCTAACCTTTTTTGCCACCTAGGGACTCCAGCACTTTCCGGTACCTCTACTACAGTAAAAAAAAGAACTATGGAGCAATAACAGTAACCAATCTAGACAATAATATCAATGAAGACCAGAGATGCTGAGGGCCTGAACCACATCAGTGAATGCAGAGATGGGAGGGGAGTGCCCAGAGTCGAACTTTCAAAGGTTGACTCTTCAGGGCTTAATAGAATCAACAAAGACACCTCCTTACAAAGAAAGAAAAGATAAATGTAAAATTATCCATCCCATAATGATTAAGTGCTTTTATTTTCTTTTCAATGTTATCTTCTATTTTAAGGGACACTGTTACTTTAAATGTTTAATTTAAGAGGTTGGTTTTTTCAAACTTGCTACTCCCCCACAAGAAAGCAAAATCCTAGCTGCCTTTAAATAGCAGAAAGGAGGGAAAGATGCTCTTCCAGCTAGTGATGAATGTGTGGAGTAAGGATGCACGTGAGTACCCTTTTTCCCCACCCTACTCCCTGCCCTCACCATCCCCCTTCCCCGTTCTTTTCCCTCATGGAAGAAGGAAAGTGATGAAGATATATTTGCTGTCGAATTTTCTCAGAAGCAGTGTGTGAACAAGATATTGTGAACCAGCCTAAGGTGATTTGGCTTTTCAGAGTCTACTTGGTAGATAGGGGGCAGTGATGATTCAGTGGTAGAATTCTCACCTTCCATGACAGAGACCCGGCTCGATTCCTAGCCCATGCAGCTCATGTGCAGCCACTACCTGTCAGTGGAGGCTTGCGTGTTGCTGTGATGCTGAACAGGTTTCAGTGGACCTTCCAGACTAAGACAGACTAGGAAAAAAGGCCTGGTGATCTACTTCTGAAAATCAGCCAATGAAAACTCTGTGGATCACAATGGTCCCCTCTGCAACTGATCATGCGGATGGTGCAGGAGGACCAGGTAGCGTTTAGCTCCCTTGTGCACAGGGTCTCTGTAAGTCAGGGGCCAACTCAATGGCGGCTGACAACAATGACAACAACTTGGTAGATAACAGATGAGGTCTACAGGTCTCCTGACCCACAACCTCGCTGCTACAATGAAAGCAAGTCTAAGCCCAAATTTGGCCACATACACATAGTGTTTAGTATCAGGCAGGTAAAGAAACAGTCTTAAAACTTGTTCTGTGGACTTGATGAAGCCCCAGGTCTCTGTCCTTTTAAGTGCTCCGTTTCTGTTTCATTCGAAACAAATGAAACATTTGTCTCTTGTGAGGATTCAGCCACCATCTTGTCAAGTCAGAGGGCCAAGAACCTATGACTCGGCAGCTGGATTACAGGACCATTTAGGAGTCAAGTCTAGGGTGCCATTCTATAGGGTGTGGCAAAGACCGGTTTGCTCTTCAACATTTCCGGAGAATCCACACTTCTTGGACACCACTAATTTCACCAGTGAAACATTTCTAACGCCCATTATTCCTGAAGGATTTGATGAAGTGGTTTGCTAACCATCCCTCGAGTGTGTGCTTCTGCTAGCCATCCTTAGCTTGTAGAGCAAATCGAATTGACATACATGTTTATATCACAGTGATTCTGCTGACGTCTTTAAAGTAAATTACAGACAACTGAACAGAAGCCAACACAGAAACGGTTTCTTAAGCTGCTGTGAACCATGGCCAGAACTGAGGGACATAAAGTCAAGGTTAGTGGAAGGGGATTTGGCTCTCTCTGACACTGGCCACAGGGATAAACGAAGGATTACGAGTGACAGAACTAGGAATAGGCGAGAGAAAACAGGAAGAAACAGAAAACATCACTTCGAGTTTTCTTAGTTTATTCCCTTTACTAAAAGCGGGTGGGAAAACAGAGGAAAAACCTGGAAATAACTATACATTCAGGTGAACTCTAAAAGAGCCTAGAGGATGGATTGCTGAAACCTGTGTTTAAATCCTCCCTCTGCCTCTCATAATGCTAGATTGCCTGCTATTTATTTCCCTTTGTGCGTTGGTTCCCTGATCTGTAAAACAGGAACAGTAATTCCTCTCTGAGGAAATTTGAAAGGAAAGTCCGAACCCTGGCAGGTTGAGACACCTGACATTGGCACACTCCTACCCCCTGGTGGCAATATTTTAGAAATACGTGGGCAGTGGCAAGGGCAAAAATAAAATGTGAAAACTGTAAAACAAAAACTAGGAGATGCCTGCCTTCTAATGCACACTAGCCTTTTAATTGGTAACTTTCTTATCTCATTGGTTTTTTTTTCCCTCCTACTATTATAACTGGAGCCTCGGTGGTGGAGTGGTTAAGAGCTCAGCTGCTAACCAAAGGATTGGTAGTTCAAATCCACCAGTCACTCCTTAGAAACCCTATGGGGCAGTTCTTTTCTGTCCTATAGGGTTGCTATGAGTCAGAATGGACTCAACGGCAACAAGTTTTTTTTTTTTTTTTTTTATTTCAGTAGTCCCAAACACACAATGTAGGAAATTTCAAGGGTCATCCAATTAGCCCAGAGGAATTTTAGTATATTTGTTTTCATTTTTCTTTCTGCTTGTTTTACATCACAAGGACTGTGGAGAATATCTAAGTCCTTGTGTCATTAGTATGACCTTTTTAGGAGATATGACCACAGAGTCAAAGCAGGCTTTGGGAGATATACAAAACCTCCTTTTTAAATATCTAAAAGGACGGTAGCCCTAGCAGGCAGGAAGAATATGAAAATAATTCAGGATTAAATGAAGCAGTAAATAAGCTAACTGCATTTGAGTCATGGAACTTCACCCATCCTAACCAGGTGATGAAGTGGAAAGAAATTCAAAGACTTATCTGGGCTTTAAATCAGACTCAAGGGACTGGGATTATGGATCCAACCTCATTTGTAGGACAGGCACTTAGAGACTCCTTTCTGACAAAGCAAACATAAAAAAGGTCGCAGCAAGGCAGCAGGGTTGTGAGGAGTTAGCTCTGGTGTCTGCAGATAAATTCCCATGCCATGGCCTAAACATTTGTCAATGAACAATCTTGGCCAGCTACAGTGTAACCCCCAAATTCACTTGGGAAAGTGACCTCAAACTTTTTGGGACAAAATGATTGTTTCTTGAGGGAGTTCACATCCTTATACCTCTGGGAGAAGGAGAATTAATTATAGAAATACGTAAGCACATTAAACGAAAGCCGGAACTTGTGTGAGGTGGAGACCTGTCAGAGAAGGAAAATGCAAAAATTTTCCACTTAACAGAGAGCAACAGAAAAGTGGTAAGAATGGTAAGACTTCACCCTGTCAAAGGTGGAAAACTTGTGAGACCTGGAAAACAAGGCAGTCCTGTCAAGTTCCGGCTCTCACAGTTTTCACTGTATTTTCATGTTGAAGTATCCTGGTATACTTGGGACTTTAAGTATAGTATTTGTAAGGTTTCAAAGAATTTGACATATCGGAGATTAAGATTCTAATTTAAAATGTATAATTGAGTGATTTAGACTTGTGATTGTAGTTGAAGTTTTGCCAAGTTTGTAAACAATATTGGATTTAAAAGAACTTAAGATTCATTCTATTTATAAATTTAATTTATTAGATTTTTAACACTTAAGTACTTGGGACTATTTGTTTTGTTAGTTAGGCATTTGGAATTGATAAAAAGAAAAGCAAATACATACACAATTTAAAAATGTTTAAAGACGTTTAACTTTTACAGATGCGACCAACTATTAATCAAGGGGCCTGCAAAAAGTTATTGTTAAAATTTGCTAGATTTTTACAGAGGATTAAGGAGGTCTGTTAATTGAACTTAAAAACTTAAAGGAAGAAATAAGGTTTTGATTTGTGGCTTTAATAAATTTAATGTTAATTTTTAAAAACAGAGTTGCTTTTGAATAATCTTTTCTGTGCACAAAAGCTCCCCTGGAGGACACCAATAAGCTCCTATTGACATTTTGTGCTCTTTGAATGGCAAACTAACAGAACTTGTGAAAGGTTCATACAAAATACTTTATTGAAAGTTTCCTTTTTAAAAAAATCGTGTACTTCTCCCCTCTTTTTGTGACTGTAAATTTGAATTTACATTTGGAATGGGAGAGGGAAGCAAAAAGAAGGAGAAGGAATAGGAGGAAGATCCTAGAAATGGGCGGGGTGGGGGGAAGCGGTGATGGCAGTCTTGCTACCCAACCATTGCCATGGAGTCAATTCTGATTCATCGCAACCCCCAGATCAAAACTCTTGCCTGGTTCCTGGCTGGCTTGGTGCCAGCTCCAGACTTTCCCCTCAACCTGTGATCTTGGCACCCTCGTGTTTCCTCGTGGTTGACCAGGGCTCCCACTCTGTCATCTTACCTAATTCCAAAATATTCTACAGTGTCTCTCTGCTTATTGCCTCACACTTTCACCTAACTCCCCTCACCATCCAGTCCAGTCCAATCCAGTTGCCCTCAATTCCAGCTCACAGCAACCCCATATATGTCAGAGTAAAACTATGCTCCATAGGGTTTTCAATGGCTGATTTTTTGGAAGGAGATCACCAGGCCTTTCTCTGAGGAGCCTCTGGGTGGACTCCAACTGCCAGCGTTTTGGTTGGTAACTAAGCACAGTTAACCGTTCACAAAACTCAGGGACTCTCCCCACTCCATAGGAAACTGTTAACAATTACAGACATCCTTCAAGACTTTTTACTGCTATATGTATATCAATAAAAAATACATACTTTAAATGGTGGTGAAAATATACACAACAAAACATTCACCAATTCAACAATTTCTACTTGTATAATTCACTACCATTTGTATAATTCAGTGACATTCTTCATGTTGTGCAACCATCCTCGATCCTTTCCCAAATTATCCCACCACTATTAACATAAATTCAATACCACCCAAGCAAAAACTCTTCCTTCCCCTTCCCTCCCACCCCTGGTGAAAAATCACTGCCATCAAGTCAGTGCTGACTCATAGCGACCCCATAGTGTTTTCCAAGGCTGTAAATCTCTACAGAAGCAGACTGCTACCTCTTTCTCCCTTGGAGCCACTTGTAGTTTCCTGCTGCTGACCTTTCTGTTAGTAGTCCAGCACTGCTCGCCCTAGCCCTGGTAGCCACTAATAATCTTTGGTTTCTATACATTTGCTTACTTCATAGAAGTGAAATCATACAGTATTTGTCTTTTTGGGTCTGGCTTCTTTCTCTCAGTATAATGTTTGCAAGGTTCATCCGTGTTGTGGCATGCATCCGAATTTCATACCATATTTTGTTTATCCGTTCATCTGTTGATGTTACTGATACAGATTTTGAAATCATGGAATCATAATATATTTTCTATTTGGCAGCTTGCTTTTCTCACTTAACCATGGAGTTACGAGGTTATGTCCAGGTCACTATGTCCAGCTTGACCTCCTTGTTCCTATGGGCTGCACAGTATATCAGAACATGGATGCTCCACAGTGTATTTATCAATGTCTTATTGATGGATATTTGGGTTGTTTCCAATTTTTCACTATATTATATTCACTTTTTGCACATTCTTTT